ACCTTTAGAACTTTTAACATATTAATAATTGTTACATATCCTGTCAGATAATTCCAAAATCCTGAGTTTGGTTCTGATGCTTGCTTTATCTCTGCAGACTATTTTTTCTTGCCTTGTAGCATTCCTTGTTAATTTTTTGTTATTGTTGAAAACCAAGGAATGTATTGGGTTAAAAGAGCAAGGTATCCATAGAGGCTGACCTAGCCACTGGGGGCTAGAGCTGAGAGTAAAGTGGCCAGTTGGCCTGAAGTGGGGGGAGACAGGTGAGAATTCCCAAACTCGCAGATGGTACCCATTTGGATGACTTGCTGATCAGATCTCGATCACTGGACGATAAAGAAGTTTGATACAGGGAGCAAGCATAAAGTTACAATTTGATGAACTGGACCTCTGCTTATAGATGTACTTGCTCAAAATTCTAACGAAAATGGAAGGATTCTTCATCTCAAGAATCAAGCTTTCCTCCTCAGTGTACTGGGTTGAGAGGGACAGGCAATTTAGACACTAGCCATCAAAAATGAGGGTTATAAAGGCATGAAGTGGGTGACTTACAAGCTGTCATGAGTGTGCTTAGTTTCAGAATGAGGTGGGTAAAGTAGAATCCCCACTGAATTGTTTTCCTCTTTTCCAGATGGGCCTGGTGAAAGGGGCTGGGGGAGGATAGGGATAGGATTTTATGGTGACAGTCATTGTTATCAGAACTAATTGTGATTGTCACAACTGTAAATGTAGAAGATGTGTAACTAATGAGTAGTTAATCTTTCATTTCAGTAACAGAGACCCTAGAACCACCAAGAGGGAAGAGCATGAGTAGAGTGTAAGAGGGGACAGCAGAGATACTAACAGACTGAGCATTTATGGGCAATATGCTCTAGCAATTCTGGATTCTGTTACGTTCTTCTGTGGATTGTTGGTTTTTTAGCAGGTAGTTAACTTGTCTGGCCTCAAACCAAAAACTGTTTTCCTTGAGGCATCTAGCAACTGACATCAGTTCTCTCAGATTCTCTGTCTCTTTTTGGCATGTTTCCCTAACTACCTCCCATGACAGCACAGTTTAATGGTCAGCCAAAGATTTTGGCATTTTATGTTCAAATTTTAGAACTACAAGTTTTCAAACTTTCAGTAATCTTCCTATCTAGCTACTTTGCCAACCTAGAACTTTGCCTTTTGTCAATAGAAACAGTAAGACTGTAGTTTTTATTGCTGTCAAAGTTAAGAGAATCAAGGAGTCCTTTCAGACACAATTTATAGATTCTCATTTCTTATCCATTCTAGTTTCTATCTCTTATGAATTAAATTTTTTCATTGTTGCCTACTTTGATCATTTGATAGTGCTTTAAAAAAGTTAGATATTTAAAATATATTTTGTCCAGAAATTATAATTGTTATCTTAAGAGTTTTTTTCTCAATCAATTCATTTCATTATTCCTGGAGATGGACTCTTAAAGTTTCTTTAATTTTTAAGATGAGGGAATTCTATGTGTTGCTTTATGACATTATAATCCAAAATCTAGTAACTTGTATTTAAATTCAACACATCTAATATTACTTACTTTAAGAAGTTTCAAATCCCAATAACAACAAAATATAAAAAATAGGCATAAGAATACAATTCTTATGACTTAGCAAACAGGTCAATTTTTTTTGGAAATACAAAAAGGAAAGATTTAGGCTGACATTTAATTAGTAATTGAGTTTAAAAAAATAACTCAGAATTCATAAAGACAAAAAACAAGCAAGGAAGGAATTAAATAACTCAGTATGAACTATAATTCTTCTGCTCCACTTAAGATTTTCCATGAAGTTTGTCCTGTTTTCCCATAAGTAAAACAAAAACAGAAATATGAGGGTAAATCAAAAAGTATTGCTACTAGGGTTCCATTTCATACATGTACAGGTTTACCTCAAACAAAACATGTTTAAACATTTCTCTGTGATCAGTAGATGATTGCAGAAAAGTCCTCAGTATTACATTTATCTTAGTCTAATTGTTGTTGTTGTTAAGTGCTGTCGAGTCAGTTCTGACCCATAGCGACCCTGTATAGGGTTTCTGAGGAGTGACTGGTAAGCCTGAATTGCCGACCTTACAGTTCAAATGGTTTGCAGTCTGGCGCATTAACCCACAGTGCCACACCAGGACTCCTAGTCTCATTAGGTGCCTTCTAAAATAAGGTTCAATTAAAACAGTGGTTTCATGTGAAAAATGGTATGGCACTTCATTAATAAGTTGGGAAGAGCAATATCGTGTGGCCCAGAAATCTCTTTAGTTGCTATATAAGAAATAAGTGCCATGACACAAGTAGATAGATCTATGAACACCCATGTTCACTGCAGCATGAATCACAACAGCAAAAAGATGGACACAGCCTAAATACTCATCAGTGTAAGAATGGATAAATAAACTTTTGTTCATACACACAATGGAATACTATGCAACACTGAAGAACAATGGTGAATCTATGAAATACCTTATAACATGGATGAGTCTGAAGGGTATTACCCTGAATGAAATCAGTCAACCACAAAAGGTTGTGGGAGGGCAGGCAATATACAAAAAGAAGGAGATTGGTAGAGGAATGATAAAGACAGGTGAAGATAGAGGGACATTAAAGGGGATAGAGGTAAATACTGTTATATACACAACCCTGAAACAAGTGTTCTACATGGAGAGACACACAGGCTGAATGGGTATGGGTGGGAGAATGGGAGTATATCCACAAATATATAAAGGTTTGATGGGGATGTTTGTATATATCTTTGCTACAAGCACACCTATCAATGTCGTAGAGCATACAGCAGACAAAATGATGAGAACTTCTTAGACATTACCAAACATCTTGAGGCAACGAATTGCTAAGGCCTGAGGGAACACCATGGTCAATTGGCATAGTCCACAAAGGCAATATTCTACATCCTACTTTTTAAGACTGGGAACTTAAAAGCTCACGAGTGGCCATTTAAGATGCAACTGTTGGTCTCTTCATGTGCAGAGGAAAAAAGAGTGATGAAAACTGAAGATGCTTTGAATCAAGTAGTCCAATGGACTAATGGAATACTTGAGCATGGAACACTAATGGAACACGGGAACAGTCTCCATTACTCTGAAACCAGAAGAACATGGTGCCCAACTACCACTACTAAGTGTTTGGAATGAAATCATGTTAGAAGATCCTGTAGAGTGGGAGACAATGTGGAACAAAATTCAAAATTATGAAAAGACTGGGTTAACTGTTCAGAAAGATACTGGAGGGATCCAAGACTATGGTCCTTGGCTATCCTTAAGATTAGGAATGGAACTCATTCTCATGGTCCAATTTTCAACCAAGAAGTGGGTAGATATATAGGGGGTGGGGGGGAACCTGGTATGGTGCTGTATGATAAGCACTCGACCATAAGGTCGATTTGAATCACAAGGTTGGCAGTTCAAATTCACCAGCTGCTCCTTAGAAACCCTATACAGGGTCCCTGTGAGTCAGACCAACTGGATGGCACTCAAAAACAACAACAGCAACACCAATGAGGTATGCTTAAGATGGACTGGTCAATTATTCAAGATCAAAAGGGAAATATTTACGTAGGGGCAAGACTCAGGGGTTGGGATGGAGGGCTGAATGAAAATAGGAGTCACAGGGAGGAAGTGGGATAACTGCTGTTGCATGGAAGGGATTGAAATCATTGAGATGAAGCAAAGTGTGTGATATGTTGGATGTAAAAACAAAACACAAAAAACCAACCACTCACAAAGAAACACAGTTATAAAACAAAACAGTGGCTTCCAGAGGCAATATTCTGGGCCTGTTAAATTAAAAGCAGAGAGGTCAGCTCAGAAGGTTATGGTGACTGTTTTTTTTTTTTTTTATTCCCAAGGGATCATCTTGATAGATGTTTCTCAAAGGGCACAAGACAATCACAGGGGCTTATTATGAAGAAGTTTTAAGAAAACTGAAAACTGCATTGGTGAGAAAAAGGTCAGGAAATTTGCATCAAGGAATTTTTTTCCCAATATGGCAATGCAGTTACTCATTCTTGAAGGGTGGGGTGGGTGCCACCAAGTCAATTCTGACTCATAGAGACCCTGTATAGAGTTTCTGAGTCTGTAGATCTTTACAGGAGCAGAAAAAGCCTCATCTTTCTCCTGTGGAGCAGCTGGTAGATTCAAATGGCTGTTAGTAGCCCAGCTCGAAATCCACTACACTACTAGGGCTCCTTCAAGGGTAGCAAGGGTTAACCTAGAAGAATTTCAATGGGAAATTTTACTCCACTCACCCACCATACAGCACTGATCTTGTCCCTTCAGACTTCTTTTTGTATCCAAAACTTAAAAAAACTTTGAAAAGGAACATGATTTTGAGTCCTTAAGGATGATGGTTTTGAAGTGGTGTAAATAGAGTAGCACAGAATTCTCCAGGGAGGATTAGAGAGATGGAAACACTGATGGAGGTTATGTCTACAAGTAATAATTTCACATTTTGATATTTTTATTTATTAAAAATAGGATTTTGTAGCAATACTTTTGACTTACTCTTGTATACTCCTTTTTACTGTACAGTAATATATAAATATTTGAATACATTGAGGTATTCTGAAGAATAATGCTTATTAAATCTACATATCTAGCATCAAAACCAAGTTATAAATATGTGGTTAAAAAGCTGGAATTATGAAGCAGCCAATTTAGTCAGCTCTTACTTACTTTGCTTCTGTGGAGACCTAGACTATGTCATCTTTTCTGATGGTTGGCCAAGGTCAAGAAGGCAAAGATGAAATATAATTACTGGATTTATGAGATCCTTGCCTCTCCAAAACAACCCCAAATATTCCAGTGAATTCAACTAATATAAAATAATTTTCCAATATTGATAGTTTCTTTGTTAGACATAAGTGAAGCATTTAATTTTAGTCTCTCTTAATCAGAGTAACATATATAATAAGTTAAGTAATACTAAAAAAGAATGACACTGTAAAATTTTGGCTCCATTTAAAAAAGAGCACATTATTACCGCAGGCGTAAATCTTCCCACATTTTCAATAATCCACACAGCATGACTATCTCGTAGTACTTTTTCCAACATTCAACAGCTTCTGCTGCAGAAGGATCTTCTTTAATATTGCTCTGATACTCGATGAGCTCCACACGCTTGTTTTTATATTTCTCCAAAGTTTTTTTAAAACGTTGTGCAATAGGACCAGGTATTGTTCCATCCTGTATATCGCACCACCTGAAAGGTATCAATAAAATTACAATACTTATCTTCTAAAATGTGTGGGATAATTTTCTAAACTATACTTACAAATTAATTCTTTCTTCAATCAGAGCAGTATAATTCTCACAACTTTCTTCATCATCCCAGTCTCTCCAAAGAAAGTCATAAAAAAACCTAAGATAAAGCAAATTAAGATGATAGACATCAAATATCCACTACTACTATGTTTAGAATTAAAAACATATTCTGATGTCAGAATTCTCCACATGAATCTTAGTTATTTAAAAAAAAAAAATTTTTTAAATAACATATCAATGAGCTAACAATAAAAGGTAAAACTTTAAAAAGTAGATGATCTCGATCCTATTTTTAGGAAACCTTGTGGTGCTATGTTAAGCACTGAACTGCTAACTACAAGGTTGGAAGTTCAAACCCTCCAGCAACTCAGCAGAAAAGAGATATGTTCTGCTCCAATAAAGATGTACAGCCTCGGGAAACCCTATACAGCCTCGCTGAGTTGGAACTGACTTGGTGGCAGTGGGTTTCGTTTGGTTGGAATTCTATTTTAAGTGACTACTGCAGGTAAACTATTGCTTTAAGTAGGATAGTAAATTCAAGTTCCAAATGTTGTCAGCTATGAGTTTTTCCACCAAAGAAATACTGTTGAAGGATTAAAGAAAAAGGAGGGGAAAGTATTAGGGAAACAAAAATGTATCTCCCAAATTCTGTGTTTTTGTTTTGTGTTGTTGTTGTTTATGACTAGTTTTTTTCAAATTGTATCAACTTTTTAAGAAGCATCAAAATATGAATGATGACATCTATTATTTGTAATGTGCTTAAACATAAAAAGGAAATCAAATATACTTGTTTAGATATAGACTGTATTTAATGCTACATATCTCTAAATAAGTTTTTACTCAATTTTTATAAAGTGCAATATCAAGCAATGGCAAATTTTTCATGGCCCATATATAATACTTGTTATTAAGTGCCATGAGTAGATGCTAACTCATATTGACCCTATATAGGGCATTACCGAGGAGCGGCTGGTGAGTTTGAACCTCCAACCTTGTGGTTCAAACCAACCTAGTGGTCAAGTGCTTATCCTACAACACCACACCAGGACTCCATATCATATTCATACTTCTGCAAAAAATGTTTCAACTAAATAATTATAAGTAAATATGTTAATTAAAAATGGGCAAACTGAATCCCAATTCAATTCATCAGTGAACAAAAATTAAAGCAATAAATATTTATAAAGTGCTGATATGAGAAAAACTTATTAAGTCAGTGTTTTGAATATAATTTTAAATTTCAGCTGCAATAAGCCCTAATACCTTACAACTTCCAAGGCTAGAGCAACATCATGTATGTCAGAATCTTGTCCTTCAACAGGATACACTTCCAAGAGAGGTACACTGTGCTCTAGTTCTTCTAAAATCTCACCAACCAAATCCCTTGGAATGTTTGCAATATTAGACGAGAAGGGCTCAGCAACAGAAACAGTCACTTTGAAACAAGGTGATGAGCTTTGGCGCGGTTTACAAGTTACCTAAAGGTAAAATATTGTAAGATAAGTATTTACAAATCAAAGTAAATATTATAGTTCCTTTTTTTACATTTTTACTACTTCTCTGACAATGAATACATAGGATAATTGTAGAACAAAGTAAATAAAATAACAAAGCCATTTTTAAAATGTTACTTCTTAAACACATTAGCTATTTTCAAGAAATTAATTTCATATCTCATTTACATTTCTTATTTCTAAATTTCCAAACTTTCAATTTCATAGATCAGTAATACTTAAAAAAAAAAGGACTAATTTTGCCAGTATTTTTTTTTTAAAAACAACACTATTATCTCTATTACACCATCTGCAAAAGAATGACTATAGAAATATCAAAAAAGTAGAAAGGACATAATCAAAGAATAAAGTTCTTAAGTGGAATAAATTTAGCAGTGGAATAAATTTAGCTTCACAAACAAAAGACTATTGTATTCATTTATCTCATTTCACCACAATGTAGTGATAACCTCCAGCACTTGACTGAATATCAGTGCTTGAGAACCGAGTCTGCAGTACTCAGTGTTTCAAAATTTTAATGAATTATATATTTTATAGGAGCTCTGGTAGCATAGTGGTTACAAATTGGGCTGTGAGCCGCAAGGTTAGCAGTTCGAAACTACCAGCTGGTCCGCAGGAGACAGATGAGGCGTTCTGCTCCCGTAAAGATTTACAGCCTTGGAAACCCTGTACAGGGTCGCTATGAGTCGGAACTGACTCCACGGCACACAACAACAACATATATTTTATATTTATAAATTACATTAAAAATTAACACAATATTATATCTGACAAGAAATCAATTTTGAAAAATTTCAAATGCATGTCCGTCAAAATTATTTTCAGGGATAGTTAAACAAAGAAACGCATTGTAGACAACAGTGTATGTTATATCATCAATATATATGAAACTAATCATATAAAGTAAAGGAAATATCTTTAAATCACCAACCAAACTTTAAAATACAAATTTTATAATTAACAGAATCTGAATTCTTTTCTTTAAAGCAGTTTAAAAATAAACAAACTCTAGTTGCCATCTAAGGAGCTCTGGTAGCGTAGTGGTTACGAATCGGGCTGTGAACCTCAAGGTCAGCAGTTTGAAACTACCAGCTGCTCTGCGGGAGAAAGAGGAGGCTTTCTGCTCCCGTTAAGATTTACAGTCTCGGAAACCCTGTACAGGGTCGCTATGAGTCGGAACCCACTCCACGGCACATAACAACAACAGTTGCCATCTAGCTGATTCCAGCTCATAGCGGCCCGCAAATGTCAGAGTAGAAACGTACTCCTTAGAGTTGGACTATCAGTAGCTGACTTTGCAGAAGTAGACTGCTACACCTTTCTTTAAGGCCTCCAGGTGGATTCAATCCACCAGAGTCTTTGGTGAGCAGCTGAGTGTTTAGCCTTTTGTTCCACCTAGGGACTTATGGGACAGGAAAAAAACCCCATCAAAATGGAGTAACAATTTAAAATTGGCATTTGAAGACCAATTTTATGATCTGCAATCCATATGTGTGAGTCCTGGTGTGAGTTAATGCGTCAGACTGCAAAGCAGTTTGAACTGCAAGGTCGGTGGTTCAGGCTCACCAGCTGCTCCTTGGAAACCCTATAGAGGTTCAGTATGGGTCGGAATCGACTTGACAGTATTAACAACAACAACAAATCCATATGTGTGACAACAAAACAAATATATTCCAAAAATATAGGTATGAAATTTGATATTTAGCTTTATATTTAAAAAAATTTAGCATTGATTTAAAAAATCAGTTTTATACATGAACATACTAGAATCAAATAGTTGCATCAGGTTTGTTATGAAAATAGAATTATTTGACAGTTTCCCATTATCCTCTATGTCCCAGTCTTCAGAATCAACGATTTTTAATTATTTTGACATTTACTTCTATATCTTTAAATAATATGCTTATATTGCTACTTATAGTTACTGGCGATTGGAATGCAAAGATTGGAAACAAATAGGAAGAATCAGTCATTGGAAAATATGGCCTTTGTGATAGAAATGATGCTGGAGACTGCATGATAAGGTTTTGCAAGACCAATGACTTGGCTGAAAGCAGAGACTATCAGAAAGATGTTTACCTGTGCTTTATTGACTACACAAAGGCTTTCGATTGTGTGGATTATGAGAAGCTAAGGACAACATTGTGAAATATGAGTATTCTGGAACACTTAATTGTGCTCATGAGGAATCTGAACCTGGACCAAGAAACAGTTATTCAAACAGAACATGGGAACACTGAATGATTTAAAATTAAAAAAGGTGTGTGATAAGGTTGTGTTCTTTCACCATACTTATTCAACCTGTATTCTGAGCAAATCATCTGAGAAGCTGGGTTATATGAAGAAAAACGTGGCATCAGGATTGGAAGAAGCCTCATTAACAACCTGTGATGTGCAGATGATACAACCTTGATTGCTGAAAGTGAAGACGACTTAAAACATTTTACTAATGAAGATCAAAGAGCACAGCCTTCGGAATGGATTACATCTCAATGTCAAGAAAACAAAAATCCTCACCACTGGACCAGTAAACAACATTCTTATCAA